ATATATATATATATATATATATATATATATATATATTCTTTTTTTAATATAATGTCAATTCCTCATGCTGTCAAAGGGGTTCTAGACATGGAGGAGAGCTGAACTCCTTTGGACGTATTCTTAGAAATAAGAATACATACCTTTATATGAAGCAATAGTTAGATGGAAAGATTGGAGGTTGAAAGATGGTATTATAAGGTATGTTTAAATAATAGGAAGACTGGTACTTGAATGGTGTATTGTGTCTTTGAACAACCAAATAATGAAGGACTATGTCTTAATATAAACATGTGTATTAATACTAGGATTAGCAATGGTGACCTGATTAGAAGCTAGAATAAAGGTAGAAATAAGAAATAGGGGGAATATTAGCAGATATAATTTTTATATAACAGAAGTAATAATTTGATGGAAAAGATCAGAGGTTGAAAGATGGTATTATCATGTATGCTTATAATATCATTGGCATTAAAATGGAACATTGAAATATTGAATAAAACTTTAAAACATGTATATTAATATTAGGATTATGTAAGTTTGATTAATATAACAACTATTATGGTTATCATTATTGATGTTTGCATCAAAATGAATTATACCCAGAGGCCACACTGTTCATGTATTGATATTGATGTATACTTAAAAATAAAAATCCAATAAAACTTGGAAAAAAATACTGTTTGGATTTTGTCAGGGAAAGGGGCCCGTGTTGGCTCATGTGGTAAGACACTGGGCTTGCTCACCGTTGAGGCCAGCAGCTCAGCAGCTCAATTCCTATGAGTGAATAAACTACGGAGCGACAAGAAAGGAGCCTCTCCCAATTGCCTACCGACATTCAGGCGTAAAGATAACACCGCCCATAAAAATTCCTTTCACAGAGGCAGCGAGCCATCTTGGTGATCCCTGGGTAACATGTGCCATATGCTAAATAAATAAATTGGCTGGGAAAATGTTCAGCACCTAAGTCCTGAAAGCACTCCAGGTTCTTACCCACTCCCCTGAGACGTCCACACTCTGCCAGGGCCTCTGGCTGCTTAGTAACCTGCATGTTCATTTGACCACAACCAAGAGTACCAGGATAGTGGTCATTGAGCCAAGCAGTTGTGTAATGTCTTGCTTAATGATCACTTAACAATCAAGAGTCCAGTCCCAAATAAGTCCCATAAATAAAATATGTTCAGTCCTATAAAACTAAGAACTACCTGTATGGTGTTGATTTTATCTACATTTGGTATAATGATGGCTTGTTCTGGTAATTTGTTTTGTTTGTTTTGTTTTAGGCAGGTTGATGTATTTTGATAATGATATCAAGCAATGAAGAGAAGCTTTACACCACAAAAACTATTTATATGCTCTATTGAGTTTCACTCTAATGCTGCTTCTGAGAACAGACTAGGATTGTCTTTTGATTATTACCCCAACTCAAATTAAGCCAAACCCATTGGGCTGTATAACACAGGCTAACAGATATTATTGTAAACTATTCACATTAATGTCTTAGAAATTAGATAGTCTGTCCATGTTATAAATGTAAACTTTAAATAATTGAAAACTATGAAAATCAATTTCAGAAAAAAGTACAGTCATGTGAAAAAGAAAATATACCCTCTTTGAGTTCTATGGTTTTATATATAAGGACATAATAAAAATCATCTCATCCTTAGCAGTTCTTAAAAATAGGTAAATATAATCTTGGATGAACAACACATGATATATTATACCATGTTTTCAATTATTTTACAAAAAGAAAGCCAAAATGGAGAAGCCATGTGTGAAAAATTGTTACTGCTTTCATAGGAATGAAG